ACTCTTTTTTTTTTCAAAACTTTTTTTTCGTCTGAAATTTTTTTCCGGTAGCTCAATCGCAGGGTCTCCGGCTTTGATTTTTTTTTCTTTTAATTTTTTTTTTCTAAAAAAAACTATTTTAACTAATATTAATGTATTGGCTGTTAAATTACTGTCTCCAACAGTTATTTAACAGTCGGAGAGAGTAATTTAATATTAATTAACCTTTTTTTTCTTAAAAAAAATATATTAATTAATATTACTATCTTGACTGCTAAATTACTGTCTCCACGGTTATTTAACTGTTAATTGACTTTTTTTTTTCTTAAAATAATATTTTAATTAATATTATTGTCTTAGCTGCTAAATTACTGTCTTCAACAGTAATTTAATTGTCGGATACAATAATTTAAATGTTAATGGACTTTCTTTTTTGAATTTTTTTTTCTAAAAAAATATTTTTTAATTAATATTACTGTCTTGGCTCCAAATTTATCTCTCTAACAGTAATTTAACTGTCTGAGATAATAATATTATTGTATTAATTAATTTTATCGTCTTGACTTGCATTATTGTTGTTTTCGACTGTAATATTATTGTCTTCGATCGTAATATTACTGTCTCAAGCAATAATATCACTGTTTGGGACAGTAATATTAGTAATATTACGGTTCAAAAAAATAATATTCATAAAATTACTGTCTGAAACAGTAATATTATTGTCTGAAATAGTAATATTATTGTATGAGACAGTAATTTAGTAGGCAAGATAGTAATATTACTTCAAATATATTTTTCTAAGATTTTTTTTTCAAAAACGAAATAAGAAAAAAAGTCAATGCCGGAGAGCGGCGGTTAACTACGGTTGACCGGCCGAAAAAAAATTCAGAAAAAAAATGTTTTCAAAAAAAAAAAGTCAACGCCGGACACCGCCCGCCCGGTCAACGCCGGAATCTGGCCGGAAAAAAAAATTCAGAAAAAAAAAATTATTTTCTCAAAAAAAACATTTTTTCAAAAAAATATTAAAATGGGGGTTAATGTGATATTTGTTTAAATTCAGGGTCAATGTCTATTATTAAGGAAGTTAGAGTATAATGGATGAAACTGATAAAAAATATATTATGGAGGGTATTTTAGAGTAAAGACATGGTGATGGGTTAATTTGAAAGATTGTTGTTTATGTGGTTCAAGTGCATTTAAGTCCCTTGTCATGACCCTAATTATTAATTATTATTAATTGTTAGTTTGTTACTTAAGTTTTAGTTATAGGGGTTTTTATGTAATTTCACCTATAAGGTAGGTATCGTACTTTTTTTATGGGTTTTGTACAAATCATACGTGTCACATTTTTATTGGTTGATTTTCAATCGTTTGGGTCCGAGTAGTACAACCCCTCTCGGACCCTAGACAACCCCTCGAGAGAATCGCACACGCCGTGGATAAGTAAGAAGGATGGCTTTGTTTTCATAAGTAAGAAGGATGGCTTTGTTTTCAAATATGAATTATTGGTTAGTGAAAAGAGCGGGAAGTATATTTAATCGGACTTTTTTAAGAATAAATAAAATAAAAAAGGTATTCTAACTCCATCCAGAGTGATAATAATTTATATGAAAAATTCTGATTTTTTATACAATTTTAATTTTCGATTCCCAAAAAATAAATTATATAACGTATTTTAGATATATATTTATGTTAAAAAATAAATGTAATCTTTCATGTAAAATATCAAGTGTTAAGAATAATTTGTTAGTTTTATTTTTATGTAGGGCAAATGGTAAAAATGGACATGACAAGGGACTTAAATACACATCGGTCTACAAAAAAGACAGTCTTCAAATAAATCCATCCCCATGTCTTTAGTCTAAAATACCGTTCATAATATAATTTTTATCAATTCCATCCATTTTGCTCTAACTTCCTTAATATTATACATTGACCCCGGATTTAAACAAATATATCACATTAACCCCCATTTTAATAATTTTTTGAAAAAATATTCTTTTTTCTGAATTTTTTTTCCAGCCAGATTTTGACGTTGTCTTTTTTTTTTTCTTTTTTTTTGATTTTTTTTTGAATTTTTTTCCGGCTGGTCAACTGCCGGTCTCCGGCGTTGGCTTTTTTTTCGATTTTTTTTTGAAAATTTGTTTTTCATAGAAAAAAATATTTTAATTAATATTACTGTCATGACTGCTAAATTACTGTCTCAGACAGTAATATTACTGTTTGGGACAGTAATATCATGAATATTATTTTCGCGAACAGTAATATTTGTATTATTACTGTCCCAAACAGTATTATTATTGCATGATACAGTAATATTACGGTCGGAGACAGTAAGATTACAGTAGAAGACAGCAAAAATGCAGGCCGAGACGATAAAATTAATTAATACAGTAATATTACTGTCTCAGACAGTTAAATTACTGTTGGATACAGTAATTTAGCAGCCAAGACATTAATATTAATTAAAATAAGTTTTTTAAGAAAAAATAAAATTTCAAAAAAGAAAAAGAAAAAAGAAAGTCAATTAACAGTCAAATTACTGTCTCCGACAGTTGAATAACTGCTGGAGACAATAATTTAGCAACGAAGACAATAATATTAATTAAAATATTTTTTTTAAGAAAAGGAAAGATCAATTAACGGTTAAATTACTGTCTCCGACAGTTAAATAACTGCTGGAGACAGTAATTTAGTAGCCAAGACAGTAATATTAATTAAAATATTTTTTTAAGAAAGAAAAAGAAATTCAATTAACAGTTAAATTACTGTCTCCGACAGTTAAATAACTGTTGGAGATAGTAATTTAGCAGTCAAGACAGTAATATTAATTAAAATATTTTTTTTAAGAAAAAAAAAGTCAACACCAGAGACCTGGCAGTCAACGGCGGTTGACCTATCGGAAAAAAAATCAGAAAAAAAAAGATTTCAAAAAAAAAAAAAGAAGTTAACGCTGAAGACCGGCGGTCTCCGACGGCTGACCGGCAGTCTCGGTGGTAGCGGGTCAAAATCGGTGTCAAAATTGAAATTATGGTCAAAATTGGTTAATTGGTGAAATTTGACTAAATTGGGGTGTAAATCATGAAATTGGAGTTGAATTGGGTTTCAATGAATTGGGGGTAATTTTGGTATATATAAAAGGGTTTTTTTATTTGCAAATACGTTTGAATGAGCTGGAAATATTTGCAAAATAAAAAAGTTGGATGTCCATTTTTGAATTAAGTGCCCTTGTTATGGGACTATCTGCCATTTGCCCTTTTATTTAATGGCCCAGTAACCTTTGTATTAAATTAATTAATTGTGAGTAATTCAATTATGGAATTAATGCTCATTTTATGGTAATTGATTTGTAACGTATGATTGCAATAAAAGACCATGATGGGTGTAATTTGTCTTCTGCCGTTACAAATCAATCGTGACCCTCTTCTCTCGTCTATAAAAGAATCCACAACTCTTCTCCTCAACCAACGGACGCAATTGAGAAGTTCATCACTTACAAAATACTAGTGAGTTGTGATATTGGAGAGATAGAGAGAAGAAGATGTGCCTACGAATAAGGTTCTCACTAGGAGATTTGAAAAGGGCTTGGCTTGTAGGTTGCGACCATCCTCGTTCATCATCTCTATCGGAATCCATGGCGAACGGTGTGTCGATAATCCCAATTATGTGATTATGTTCTTAAGATCAATTTGATTTTAAGATTCTCTTATTAGGGTTTTTCCGCATAAAATAAATAAAAGTCTTTCAATTGGCATCAGAGCAGGTTTTGAAATCAATTCATCTTAAAACTCAAATATGTTATATGTCAATCTTGTTACCGTATGATTTCATGAAATTAAATTGAAGATGATCTGTTATTGCTTTGCTGTATGATTGATAACTAAATAGCTATAGTCTAATTAATCCATTGCAATTAGTGTGATCTTAGTTTTCTCCTGCTAAGAGAATCTTCATCGTGATATGCTTACAGCGTGATGTGTGTGTGATCTGGTACACACACATGATATGATATTAAAAAAAAAAAAATTATTCTGCATATGGGTCCTTATTATTGCATGTTTCATGATTATTTTAATATTTTGTTATTATGTATCGATATAGTGCATATGAATAAATTAACATGAAATAATAGGATGTACACAACTATGCGGTAATTGACATGCTTTGAGATTAATTGCAATCGGCGTGTATGATTATACAGTACACATCAGAGTGCATGAAATTTTGTATATTTTTTTTTCGAAATCATGAAATTTTGTATATTTAATTGCGTGATACAATACGTCAGTACTCATTTTGTATGTTTTTTATGGGTTGAATATGATATATCATGCAATGTGTGCGATCAAATACATGTTTGTGTATATTTGATGACTCAAATAAAATAACGGGAATATTATTAGGTTTATATTTATGAAATTTATTAATCTTGTAGTTGCCAAAGTACCTAGATTAGTAAAATCTTGCACCAAAATGCGAAATTTCTCGCCTCCAGGGCCCCCATCCCTTGGCCCGACAAGGATTGATGGAGGAATGTAAATCATGGTAACTCAACGGCTCGTTAAGGTAGCGGACCCGGACCTGGTGCCCCAAGGAACCAACCCTCATTGGAGTTGAAATTCCCACACTGCGGCTGTCAGGATTCGACCCTAGGACCGTGCACCAACTTACCACGTCCGGAACCAGTTGAGCTACACCCATGCGGGCTAGAGTAGTAAAATCTTATAAATATAAGAACTATATGAAGGCTTAATCATTTAGATGATATTAAAGATTATAATATGCTCAAATTGTAGTCATAATTAAGAAGTTGAGACTAGCTCAAAGGATAGTCGATTTTAATTCATTATGAATTGGGTAGGGTATCATAATTTGTATTACTTAGCAATTAGAACTGATTACCTAAAGGTAACATGACTAATTGAAGAGTGAGGTAAATTATGTTAGACCCTACTTAGGTGTAATAAAAGATCATTTACACCAACATTGAATGAACAATAGGTATGTTGTATTTCACCCAAATGAGAACTTGTAGTGATATCGACAGTTCATCTTATTTGACTCAAGGTCTTATGTGAGCATCCTTTTATCTTTACCTTATTATATTTGTTATATTTATTTCAGTTGCTATTCCTACTTCATTGTACTCGCATGCTTCTGGTATTAAGACACACAATGGGTCAAATTTCTCCAAGTGGTATGAACAAATTCAATTCACCTTGGGTGTTATGGATTTGGACCTAACATTGCTTACTAAAAAGCCTGGGGAAATAACGGATGCTAACAGTGAAGAAGAAGTTAGCCTAATTCAATCCTGGACGAAGTCCAATAGGCTTAGTCTTATGCTTATTAGAATGATGGTTGTTAATGATAATAAGACTTCTCTTCCCGAGGTTGACAATGCTATGGAACTGTTAACGGCTATTAAAGAACGCTTTAAATCAGCGGACAAGTCGCTAGTAGGGACACTCATGGCTGAATTGACTACCATGAAATATGGTGGTGATAAGGGAATTCAGGAACACATCCTGTGAATATGACTGATAAGGCTGCCAAACTTGGAGCTATTGGCATGAAAGTGGAAGAGTACTTCCTTGTGCAATTTATCCTTAACTCACTTCCATCAAAGTTTGGCCATTCAAAATCCATTATAATACTCAAAAAGACAAGTGAATTTGAATGAACTGACTAGTATGTGTATTCAAGAGGAAGTGAGATTAAAGCAAAAAGAAAATCACTTTGCATTGGCTGTAACTCATGGAAATATGAAGAAGAAAGGGAAATTTGTGAAGGATGGAAAGAAATTCGCACCAAACAAAAGATATGAACCTGGTGAAAGTAGTGAGGGTCATAGAAAGGCTTTTGTTGTCACCTGTTACTTTTGTAATAAAAAGGGACACGTAAAGAAGAACTATGAGAAACGTAAGACTTGGTTCGAAAAGAAAGGTATTCATCTTTCTTTTGTATGTTATGAATCACATCTTATTGAAGTTCCTTCTTACACTTGGTGGCTTGATTCTGGTGCAACAACTGATATCACAAATTCATTACAGGAATTCCTTACAACTCGGAAACCGGAGGAAAGTGAAAAGTACATCTATATGGGGAACCATCTCAAATCTAAAGTGGCGTTTGTTGGCACTTATCGCTTCATATTAGAGACGGGTCACAAGATGGAACTTGAAAACACTTTTTATGTACCTTCGTTTTCTAGAAATTTTGTTTCTTTGTCAAAACTGGATGTTTGTGCTTATTCAGCTTTAATTGGTTGTGCAAAACTCAGTTTTATGTTTAATTCAATAATAATTGGTTCCGGTATTTTATGTGATAGTTATATAAAATTATCTTTGAATCATGAGTTTAAACAATCATCATGAACCACTCATTCGGAAGTTGGCGTAAAGCGAAGCCTATATAACGAATTTTTTTCTATCTTGTGGCATAAACGTTTGGGGCATATCTCCAAGGAAAGAATCGAAAAATTGGTAAAAAATGGAATTTCGAAAAATCTAGACTTTATTGATTTTCAAATGTGTGTAGATTGCATTAAGAGTAAGCAAACCAAACACAATAAAATGGGTGCCACAAGAAGTAAAGAGCTTCTTGAGTTAATCCATACAAATATATGCTCACTACTTATTCCATGTTTTAGTGGAGAAAAGTATTTTATCACCTCCATTAATGATCTATCTCGTTATGATTATCTTTATATAATTCATGAAAAATCTCAAGCTGTTGACATGCTTGAGGCCTTTGTTACGGCAGTCGAGAGACAATTAGATAGAAAAATTAAAGTTATACGATCAGATCGGGGTGGAGAATACTATGGTAGATATGATGAGTCCGGACAAAATCCTGGCCCATTTGCTAAATTCTTAGAAAAGCGTGGTATTTGTGCTAAGTACACAATGCCTGGACCACCACAGCAGAATGGAGTTGCTGAGCGTTGTAATCGTACTCTTATGGATATGGTTAGGAGTATGTTAAGTAATTCAACTGTACCTATTTCACTTTGGAATGAAGCCTTGAAAACCGCTATGTATATCTTAAACCTGGTTCCCAGTAAAGGCAGTCCCAACAACTCCCTACGAGTTGTGGACTGGTAGGAAACCTAGTTTAAGGCATTTACATGTTTGGGGTTGTCCAACATAGACTAGAATATACTATCCAAATGAAGAAAAAAAATGAACTCTAGAACAATTTGTGGATATTTTATTGGTTATCCACTAAATTCAAAAGGGCACAAATTTTATTTGAAACTCGAAACGCCAAATTCTTAGAGAATGGTGAAGTTAGTGGGAGTGTTGAATCAAGAAAAATAGAACTTGAGGAAATTAGGGTGGATATTTTACCATCTTATTTTCTTTAAGATAAAGTTACTCTTCAACTTATACAACAAGTTGAAACAAACAATTCGCCACTCCATTCACCACTTCATGAAGATGTTATCATTGACAATACTGTAGAACCACCACAACCGGTAGCTTTGAGGAAATCTCAACGGTAAAGAAAATCTGCAATATCCGATGATTATGTGGTGTATCTACAAGAATCTGATTTTGATATTGGTATTCAAAATGATCGAGTTTCATATTCACAAGCCTTGAAAAGTAAAGATTCTAGTTAATGGATTGATGCTATGAATGAAGAGTTGAAATCAATGTACTATAACGGTGTCTAGGATCTTGTCGAATTGCCTAAGAACAGTAAGAAAGTCGGTTGTAGATTGCTCTTCAAGACCAAACGTGACTCTAAGGGCAATATCGAAAGATTTAAAGCCAGACTAGTGGCCAAAGGTTTCACTTAAAAAGAAGGCATTGATTATAGAGAGACTTTCTCTCCAGAATCTAAGAAAGACTCTCTTAGAATCGTTATGGCTCTTGTAGCTCATTATGATTTGGAGTTTAACCAAATGGACGTGAAAATTGCTTTTCTGAATGGGGATTTAGATGAAGATATCTATATGGACCAGCCTGAAGGATTTGCAAAACAAGGAAATGAACACTTGGCTTGTAAATTAAAGAAATCCATATATGAACTTAAACAAGTATCTAGACAATGGTATATAAAATTCAATGATACCAGTACTTCCTTAAGATTAAAGTAAAACATTGTTGACCAGTGTATATATCTAAAGATAAGTGGGAGCAAGTTTATCTATTTAGTCTTATATGTGGATGATATTTTACTACCAAGTAATGATCTTGGTTTACATCACGAAACCAAGAATTGTGTTTCAAATAATTTTAAGATGGTTGAAATGAGTGAGGAAAATTATGTTATTGGGATAGAGATCTTTAGAGATCGATCTCGAGAATTGTTAGGTTTGTCTCATAAATGATATATCAATCGAGTTCTTGAAAGATTTAGTATGCAGTTTTGTTCAGCCATTAATGATCCTATCACAAAAAGTGATAAATTAAATGAAAAGCAATGTCCAACGAATTATTTGGAAAATGAGAAAATGAAGTTGATTCCATATGCATCAACAGTTGGAAGTCTGATGTATGTACAAACTTGTACTAGACCTGATATTAGTTATGCAGTGAGATTACTTGGTAGATATCAAAGTAATCCTGGAATAGAACATTGGGAAGCAACAAAGAAGGTTATGAGGTATCTTCAAGGAATAAATGATTACATGCTTATTTATAGGAGATCAGACCAATTAGAGGTTATTGGTTATTTAGACTCCAATTTTGCTGGTTGTTTAGATAGTAGAAAGTCCACATCGGGCTTTGTATTTCTACTAGCTGATGAAGCAATCTCTTGGAAGAGTGTAAAACAAAGTATTATTGCTTCGTCCACAATGGAGGCCGAGTTTGTAGAATGTTTTGAGGCCTCGAATCATGCACTATGGTTGCGAAATTTTATCTTAGGGCTTAAAACTGTTGACTCAATTGCTAAGCCTTTGAAGATATATTGTGATAACACTGCAGTCGTTTTCTTCGCTAAGAATGGAAAATATTCAAGTGGATCCAAGCACATGGATCTTAAGTACTTGGTTGTCCAGAAACAACAACTGTCAATAGAAAATTTAAGTACAACTCTCATGGTTTCTGATCATTAACCAAGGGATTGCCTATATAGACATATGAGGAACATGTTATTAGAATGAGTCTTTTGAGAAATCCATGATTTGATGAGTTGTGATTGTAATTGACACTTAATTTATTTAATCAAATGTTTACGTTTTCATGTTTCCAATTATGTGTGCACATATTATATTTGGAATTAATATAACAGGATTTGTCCTAATAAGTCAAATTTAAAGGAGCTATGGGTTAGAATAGTAAGGGTTATTAGTGGTGTGATACATAGAAGGGAATATGATGAATGAATCATATGACCGCTATGATTCACATTAATAACTCAAACTAGTTCTAGTATTGAAGTACTTTATTTACCTATTATGGTAATCAGCTTAATTATCTTTTAAAATAGTGATCACGTGTCAAATGTTTTGTATGAAGAACCCACTGAGTCAAAAATAATTTTTAAACTTGTTTTCTTAAACGGTTCAATGGGCCAAATGGGAGAATGTTAGTTTTATTTTTACTTATGGCCCATTAATCTTTGTATTTAATTAATTAATTGTGGGTAATTCAATTATGGAATTGTGCTGATTTTATGGTAATTTATTTGTAACGTATAATGGCCATAAAAGACAATGATGGGTGGGATTTGTCTTTTGCCGTTGCAAATCAATTGTGGCCTTCTTCTCTCGTCTATAAAAGAATCCACAACTCTTATCTTCAACCAACATACGCAATTGAGAATTCCATCACTTACAAAATACTAGTGACTTGTGATATTGGAGAGACAGAGAGAAGAAGGGGTGCCTATGAGTAAGGTTGATCTCACAAGGAGATTCGGAAAGGGCTTGGCTTGTAGATTGCTATCATCATCCTTCATCGTCTCTATCAGAATCCATGGCAAACGGTATGTCGATAATCCCAATTATGTGATTATGTTCCTAAGATGAATTTGATTTCAAGATTCAGTTATTAGGGTTTTTCCCCATAAAATAAATAAAATTCTTTCACAATCAACCCGTGAATTATGGCTCTATTAAAGAATAACATATGGAGCTAAATTATGGCATGTCTTGAAGATAAAATCAAGATCAATTATGTGAATATTCCGTGCAGACTCGATTGTTGATTCCTTGTATTTTTTCATTTGTACTTTCCTGAAAATCAGTTGTACATCCTGTATATAAACGATATTAGTCGATCAATGAAAATTAACATGCCTTTCATATTTATTAAAAATCTACAAAGAGGTAAACTTTATATTTTTTGAGCAGTTAAATAATATTTTCTTTAAAAAAAGTTATTTTTTCCAAAAGTGTTCAGGGAAAATAGGAGTGTGCGTGGGTCATAAACCCACGGGTTCTAGCGAAACTCACCCTCGTCTTGTTAACTAACGGTTCTAGATTTTAAGAAACATAACTTGTGGATTTTTGACGGGTTTAGGATAGACGGATCTGTTGATTTATATGCCTATAAAAATCTACTTGTTCTGTTAGGCACAAGGTTCTAAAAAGCGGGAATTGGCTCCGAGTCGGTTAGGCACCGCCTTCCGATTAATCGGTGCGGCAGTGATTAATGGGCGACAAATCGGAAATAAATGGTCTTTTTAAATTTAATGTAATAATTTTAAATATTATTTGTAAATACTCAAAACATATATAAAAAGATATTTAAACATGATTTTATCCCATCAATTATAAATCATAATACATAATAAAAATTTAATAACAATAAAATCATAATATAATAAAAATTCTTACAAAATAAAAATATAATGAAAATCTTGTGCATCCAAAATTATGTTTGAACATTGCAAGCATATATCATGACGTCCTTTAAAAATAAAAATTAACATAAAAAAATTAAAACAAAGTATAAAGTCATTTTCTATTAAAAGCCTTTTAATTATTAAAAAAAAAAAAAACAACCGATTTTTGACCGACTCTTGCCATCAAAGTTTGACCCGCCTCAATCCGTCTCAAACCGCCTCGCACCTCCTCAAACCGCCGCACAGACAAAAACCATTTTTTCAAAATTTTACACAGAAATTGTAAAGGTTTTAGACCGCCTCCACCTCGGAGATCGATTAATCGGCCGCCTCGACCAATTTTTAGAACATACGTAAATATTAAATATCAAGTAAAGTCGGTGTGGATCAAAATTGTGTGCCTCTTTTTTTTTTATTATTTATTTATTTATTCTTTCTTTCCGAATAAGTTTCGGAAATTGACGCTAGGCTGCAAAATAAGATTAATCCCATATGTAAACTAAATTATAAAAGGGAAATATGCATTACACCCCTCAAATGGAAAATATTTTGAACTAAACCCAATTGACTTTTAAAGACTGTTTTGACTACACCTAAATTTCACTCTTAATTAGTGAGACCTCCTAAACTAGTGTGAGAAAACAAAAGTACCCTCAACTACTATAACCATAATTATTTACCCACCTATCACTTTCATCTTCTCTCTTCTCCACCTCTCCACCTAAATCCCTCAAAAAACTCCTAAATTTCAAGCTTCCTCCACCGTTTTTGTCGTCGCCGCCGCCGCTCATTGTCGCCACCGCCACTTCATCCTTCGTCTCCACATAAATAATCTCTTTCTCTCATGTTCGTTGTCTCTCTCGATTTCACTCTCTTACACCACCATCGTCTCCACATAGATTTGCAATATACCACCACCGTCGTTGCTTATGTCGCCGCCGCCTCCTTCGTTTCCACGTAAGGCTCCTCGGTTTTTCGTTATCTTTCTCGATTTCTCAAGGTTTTTTTTTTGTTTTTCAGATCTATCTACCACCACCTTCGCCGCCTCTCTCACTCTATCTTTCGTTCACCACCGTCGCCACCGCCGTTATCGTCGATTCCCACTCCGTCTCTTTTGTTAATTTTCTATCTTTGTTTATGTATTTTTCGCTCTCTCTCTCTCTCTCTCTCTCTCTCTCTCTCTCTCTGAAAATACAGTTTCCTATCTGAACAGCAGCATGACTATAGTTATATTCTAATATGGCTATAGTCATATTTATGTATTTTTTCGAATATGACTGTAGTCATATTCGAATATTTGAATATAATTGTAGTCATATTCGAATAGTTCGATCTTCTCGTTTCAAGTTTACTTGTAATAACAAGATTAAAATTGTGTTTTCTAATTATTTTTTTTGTGTGGATGTTGATTGGATTGTTTCGTAAACAATATGGAATCTTAGCTGTTTTATACAAATTGGTAAACATGATTGTACCGCACCATATAATCGAGATTTTGAAGTTAAAAATATAAAAAAACTGCAATATAAAGAAAAAATATGACTACAATTGATATACTCGCATTTGTCATATTCAACTATAATCATATTCGGCGTTGTAAACTGTCGAAAAAAAAAATCAATTTTATGTTTAATTTTTTTTTAAATATTTTTATTAAAAAATATTAAAAAAATAAAAAATAAATAAAAATGACTAAATAAAATCCGAAAATAATAAAAAATAAAAAAAATCATTTTTTTTATTTGGTAGCAAGTTTTTAGGAATTTGGATGCAAATTTTTAGGAATGAGATTGTTGTTATGGAAAGAAAGAAAAACATAATTAATTGGGAGAAATTATGCTAAGGGGTTTTTGTGCATAAGTCCCTAACCAAACATCTTTATTATTCTAGGTTAAGGGACTATATCGCTTTCACCAATAAGCTCATCCCTATAATACTTATTATAAATAAAGAAAAAATTCATGTATATGACAAAATTACCCCCAACCCTTTACACTCAATTTTTAATTGTAACCCCAATTTAATCAAATTTGACTTTTTTTTTAAACATTTTTTTCAAAAAATATTTTTTTGCCGCTGGATTCCGGCGTTGACTTTTCGAATTTTTTTTCTTTTTCTGATCTGTTTTTTTTTTTTGCCGCCAGATTCCGGCATTGACTTTTTTTAGTGTTTTTTAGTGGGTGTTTTTTTAACGTCCGCCGCTAAACGTTTACCGTAATTGTGTTGTCATTAACGATAATTATACTGTCCCTAACAGTAAATTAACGTAATTATACTGTCACTGACAACACATTAACGTAATTGTACTGCCGTTGACAATACATTTATGTAATTGTATTGCTGTTGACAAGTAAATTAACATAATATTATTATTTTTTTTTTTTGTTATTTTTTTTTAATTTTGTTTGATTTGTTTACAAGTCAACATAATTATATTATTGTCGTTGACAGTAAAATAATTGTAAACACAATAATATTACTGTCAATCACATGAATATTATTATTTTGTTTGGGTATTTTTGTTTTGTTTCAGTTATTCACAGAGTAACTTAATAATATTACTGTAAACACAATAATATTAGTGTGGTTGACGGTAATATTACTGTTGTTATAGTAATATTATTGTCAACCACATCAATATTATTATTTTTTATGGGTTTTTTTGTTTTGTTTAAGTTATTCACGGAGTAACGTAATAATATTAATGTCTATTATTGTAATATTACTGTGGTGACAGTAATATTACTATTGTTATAGTAATATTACTGTCACTTACAGTAATATTAATTCTTTTGGCTCTTTATTATGTTTACATTTGTTGAACGGTCAACATATTAATATTACTCTATTACACAATAATAATGAGTTTTGTTGTGTAAATATTAGTGTGCTAGAGATTAATATAACAATATAATTGTGTTAAACTGAAATATAGTTAATTTTACTGTGTTTAACAGCAAAAAAAAAAGTCAACTCCGAAAACCGGCCGAAAAATCAGGAAAAAAAAAGTCAACGGCGGTGACGGACGAAATTGTCTATAAAAATGTGTTTTGGGTCAAAATTGAATAATTTGTGAAATTTGGAGTCAAGTTGAGGTTAGATTAAATTAAATGATGAAATTGAAGCATATTAAAGTATGATGGACTACTTTAGTCTTTTACAAAGTAAACCTTTGGGCCATGTGTGGACTTTTATTTGTAAAAAAGTTTATTGTCTGGATCTCCTTATGAATAAGTAACCATTAATGGACTTATTTGTAATGTGGCTTTATGCTAATTGACATAAGGATAGAATTGGAAATACAATTTCTAGGGGTTGTCAGAAAGAAAGATTTAAGGGATGGACATATCACCATTTCTTAACTACATGAGGGGTTTATTGCTATATGTAAAGATTTAAGGGGTTTAATCCGATATATGTAAAGTATATAATAAAACTCGAGCGGGGTTCCACCTGACAAGACGTCTCTCTCTCTCTCTCTCTCTCTCTCTCTCTCTCTCTCTCTATATATATATATATATATATATATATATATATATATATATATATATATATATATATATATAACTGTCCGAATTTCCCGCTCACCGCCGCCGTTCGAAATTGCTCTCGCCGTTCACCAATCTACCTCCTCCTACAAAGGTATGGGTTTGTGACTATTTTTTTTCCGAAAATTGAATTAAGAGGAAGCCAAAACTCAATTTCTATATTTTATCTGTTCATATAACGTTTGATTTCTGTTCTGGATAAGGGGAGAGATTTCGTCCCTTGTTGTATGTATTTTTCAATTGTTTCTTTAAGTATTTTTTTTTTTAGGTCTTCCTTTATTTTTAGTAGAATGATTGATGAAAATAGGAAAAGTAAAAAGAATTAGAACTTTTTACTATTACTGTTTTTATAATGCAAACTGCTATTTTTCTATGTGGTGCGTGCGTGTCTTTTGGTTTCTTCAATTATTTAGAGAATTGAAACTAACAAATAATCTGTTTCACATTAATATTCTAATTTGTTGATTTCTCGTTTCTTGAATAGGTTTGCATCATGTTTATCAAATGCGTTTGCTGCAATTGCGAATCTAATAAACGTTTGGATTTCCTTTTTTTGGTACACAATGTTTTTGTCACTTTCACCAACTAACCTGAAAGATAAGCGTGGGGAAGCATATTCTGTTTTAGGAGTGGTTTTTTTCGTTTATTTGTTGGTTATCTTCTCGATGAATGCGGTTTCTAGAGAGATTTTCGCTGGGTTTTTAGCCACGACTTGCTCCATAGTTGTCTATACTTCATCACTAGTAAGTGTATCTATTCTTCATATATCTTTCTCCATTTTGGGCCTATTAATAAATATATAAAATGATTTTCTTCATCGTAGAATATTTGCAAACATTAATTAATATATTTATTTTTTACCTTACTAATCAATCATACTTAAAGACTAGAGAAGATTTTTTGTAATTAACGGTATTTGCATTATTTTATGATATTTCCTAATTAATTGTTGAATTTTGACGTAAATGTAGATCTCGGTGATCAAAACAAAAGAGGTGAAATTGACGACTTCGTTTTTGATGTTCTTGAACGGGGCCTTCTGGTTTGCCTTCGGATTACTTAAGCAAGACCTTTTTTTTGTTGTAAGTATATAAATACTGTATGTAATTCATGTATGTGATTTTCAGATTTATTTTTATAATATCTGCCGGCTAAATATATTTACTACTTTTATAGGTATCAAATGGATTTGGGTGTGGAGTGGGAGCACTACAAATGTACTTCATTTATCGAAATAACAAAGGTGAAACCATAAATCAAAAGGAAAAAGGAAAGAGGAAGGCCAAGATTGCATGAATGAATCCTCTCGAATCTATCATCAAAATTCAAAATAACTTCTAGTGAAATTAAATTTAAATTAATGAAATACTAGTATTTAGTTTGGACTTTGTGACGTCCATAAATGCTCCATAAATGCACCTGTTACTTCTATATGCACCTATTACTAAGAATAAAAAGGAAAATAAAGGAGAAGTAAGTCCAAATGAACTTAGTGAGGAGTACAAGGGAAAAATAGTGAAATCGAATAATAATTACAACAAGCAAACAATAGAAGCGTTAGATTTGGAATTGGAGTTGGAATTGGACCATCTAGAGAATGGTCGTTTGATAAGGAATAAGAGGTCAAAGTATAAGGCGCAACAGTATGATCAGAATAAACAATGCAATCAATATGTACAGGTAGAGAACAATGTTCAACGGGTAATTCTCGGATATCAATTATGAATTTCGTGGAGATTCCCACGGTAACAATTTTGGATATCAAATATGAAGACCGTGGAGATTCCCATGGTAATAATTTGTTCATGTACATGTACCTGCCTTGTGACTCCCTTAGTTGTAACTACCTTATAACACCGATCAGGGAGCTACCCTGCTAATCAATCAATAGGCATGCCCGGGTGCATGCCGATTCAACCATCAACACAGATAACCTCCAACTATGCCAATGGTCTGAATCCAATATGGGTACTGTCGAAGAGACCATCCACCGTCGGTCCAATACTGTCCAACAGTCTTTTTCGAACAGCCTCGGGCCCACTGTTCAATTATCCTTAAGGCGTCCATAAAGGATATCAATCGTATATAGATATCGGATATGCTTCCGACAATCTCAATTTATTGTTTCAATCCCAATGATGGTTCCACTTTGGATAGAATAAATATCATAGTTCAATAGTTTTGGGATTCAATAAGTGACTGATCACGCTAATTTCATTGAGATTCCAATAACAAGTGACAATATTTTGTGGTCACGAAATCGCTATTCAAGAAGGGTATGATCAATGGTTTCGATAGAAGGGTGACCACAAATCGAGATTGTATAACAACGATTCAAGTAAAAGTAGAACAACAATGATTTCGATAACGATTGATGAAAATGAATCTTAACAACAATAGTCTACGGTTAGAATTGAATCCGTAGAATTGTACAACTCGAAAGACAAGTGGTTCCAAAAGATCAATGAAAAGTCAAGATATGAACGATCCGATTCATCAATCACAGTATGTACGAAGCGAATGATTTATTGGATAAACACAATAATCCTAAATGGTCCAAGAGTCGGGAAAAGAACGATTTATGTTCATTGAACCACTGTAGAAACAAATCAAATAATTAACTGAATCATAATAAAAGTGGTTCAACTAATGGACAAGTCAAGATGTGAAATAATTCAATATTGACAGAGAATTAGACTGAAACTCGTTAAATAATTCAAGGATCAATAAAGGAACTCAATTGAGTATCCAAAGAATCTGGATGATAAGTTATTGGAATAAGTCTCGAATCAAAATGAAAACTTATTTGAATAGTTCGAGGAAGAAGATACGAACCATCAAGAGGATTCCGAATAAATCATTATTTTCAACAATTCAAGAATCAAAATATAATACGATAGACAACAAGTAAGATATATCACATTTAAGTGATCAAGAAGCAATAACGGATATCTTATTCTCAGTGTGTATTTTGTTTTTTCAAGAAATAATAGTGAAGAAATAGAGATCATCACCTGAAGTCCAATGCAAGTGCTATAAAAACACCTTACTCTCGAGCCATGCTCAAGTCTTGAATAAGAGCTTTAGTACACTCGACACCTATAAAAATATTCACCACTTAACAAGATTCCAAATGCTAATATAACCGTATTATTCCACTATATCTCATAGTCAATTTCTTGAAACATTTATTAAGAATGACTTGCTGCCACAACTTATTCTAGCAATCATTACGATCATCGTACTTAACCGAATAACCTAAACGATATATCGAATTAATGAAAATCTATTGTGATCTTTGGAGACCTGCTCCTTTAGCTTCAAATCAAAGATTTCAATTTTATGCAATATTTGTTGACGATTACTCAAGGTTTACATGATTATATCATTTGCGGAGAAAATCTGAATTTTTCGATATTTTTAAGAGCTTTCAAAGGCTTGTGGAAAATAAACTTGATCGTCGAATTAAGATTTTTCGGTGTGATGGTGGAGGTGAATTTAATACATGTAGTTTTCTTACTTATATCCAAAAAAATAGTGGAATTGAGATGCATATCTCCTGCTCATGAACTCCGGAGCAAATTGATACATATGTCCTGCTCATGAACTCCGGAGCAAATTGAGAGAGAGAGAGAGAGAGAGAAGAAGAAAAAAATGCAAGGCGTTCTACAGTCAATACCATCAAACCCCAGAACTAGAGTTTCTTTCCTACCTCCGCCATTACAGGATTTAAGGTACAGATTCAACCATGTAATAAAACCCATACTAAAATTATTCAAGCAGTAACTTTATACTTCATTAATATTCTCTTTCTTGTGTGTCTGTCGGAACATGAAATTAAGCAGAGAATACAATATAATCAGTTTACTCGAACATCCGATGGCGTAAAATAGTTCGATAATCACAAATTACAACCACTTACAACCAACAGCAACACACAACAATTACAGTCAATAAATAAATTACTAATAACCATTCTAGAACCGATTATAACTCCATTTGAAAGTACCAATTTTTATGTGAAAGAAAAATAATTTATTTTGCACAAACATACCCAGAATTTGAAAGTTCATAGAACTAACCCGTTTGAGATGTACGCTTCCACCAACGTATAAACACATGTGGGGTAGGAGTGAGAAAATGATGGGATTCACAGATCTCACATCTCCTGGCCGGATCTTATATCCGCTGATTGGCGGATCGCGACCCGGGCCCAGGATATATCCGGGTTCCACTCAAAGTGAACCAAAGATGAGAACCGGGTGGATTACAAGATCTATCCGGCCAAATCCAGCAAACCAAAGGGGCCTTACGATTTGATAACATTGGTAGAATATTATAACCTGACGATTGTAGAATAAAAGCAAACAATATACGTATATTTGTAAGAATATGGGGCATAAATGAAATAAAACTATAATCTCAAATCTTTATTAAACTGAATCCATATACACAAAATACACTCGATGGTTTCAAATCTGATTCGAGTGAATCTGTTATCTAGTATGTATACATACATACAACAATATATATAGCTCCCCCAAAAAACGGCAACTATATTCAAATACCTAAGACCATTAACCGTCACAAATTCAACTATTAGTTGAACAAATTTGTGTCGAATAAACGCAACTCCTAAATCTATATAATCTGTACAGCAGAAAACAAAAAAAGTAAACAAAAAATATGATCTGTAATAAATCAGACAAGAATCTGAGACTTGGCGAGCATGCGTGAGCATTTCTTACGAGTAGAGCTGCTCAAAGCACAGATACAGTTTTCGAGAAGATCGTAGTCTTCTTCCCAGTAAAGAACGGAAGCCAGCTCTGGTTTCTCTAGAAGCATCTTAGATGTAAGAAAACCAGCAATGGACCATGTTTGGTAGAGACGGGCTTGCTTTCCTATGAATTTCCCGTTTTTAGTGTCGTAATATTCGGGCCAGTGATCTGCAGACAGCCTTTTTTCGGCTAAATCAATTGCCTTCTTTGCCAGATCCTGTCTACCCATCTTCATGCATGCCAATGTGAACTGATTGAGCAGAAAAAGACAACAAAAAAATATACATACATATAAGTATATACTTCACTGTGATCTAAAGTCAAATGCAAATGGTGCTCCGTTGAAATCACTATTTAGGAGCAAGTGAGCTAAAAGAAATAACATTCGGGATTTTCTAGAACTTGGAAAAATACGGGGTTTTTAACCTCTTGTTATATACTTGAATGAAAAAGCATATTCATCATTTCAATCAGAATACGATGTATATGTCTCTACTCTTATGGTGAATTTTGGATATTTTGCACATTCAAGATGGACCAATTACTCGGAGTTTATTGTTAAAAAACTCCCCATGTTATTCAGCAAAAACAGACTAGCCCCTCAAAACTCCCTTTTCTTTTTTTCTGGGGGGTTGGGGGTGGGGGGGTGTTGCACAGAAAGCCATCACTGTAAAAAATTAGCAAATTTACAGGAGATATTTCAAACTCTTTATGTGTGGACTCGAGAGAGATAATATATTCCACAGATTCACATTCTACACATCAGTTTTATAGACAAAGACGAATATTCAAGATTCCAGTATATTCTCCACACAATACACATCGTAACATTTAATGCTCAAACAAACTAATTATTCAAAGTAACTCTTACCTGCCATAGTAGAGTCGGCCATGAGCCACCGTTATGATATGACCAAGGCCTAAAAAAAAATAATAAATAAATAAATTTAAAGGCAAAGGAAAAAAAGGAAAAAAGGAAGCAACTATACAAAAAGGTAGTATTGTGTAAAACTCACGTATTCTTAGGATCGGATCCGGTGATAATTCGCCACTCCTCCTTCTTCAAAGCAGGGTAACATATCTTAAGAGGCATCTGACCAATAAGATCGTCCCATTTAGCTTCAATCATATTCAGTATAGCCTCGTTTTGCTTCGGAGTACCCAAAGAGGACACAATCGACCAAAGATTTCCGAGCGTGAAGAATCTAAAATCCATATGAGCTGGCTGAAGATTCCCTATCATATAACCGCCTTCCTCTGGAATCCAATGCATCAGCCAATCAGGAATTTGTTCAGGATATATATTGAACTTGTTTGTGGCTTCCGTGGAATATTCCTCCGTCTTGTAACGGTATATTTCGTTGATCTTTTTTAGGTCAACCCAATAATACTCTCTTATGTGAAACGATAGTGCGCTCAGCCTGTTGTTTACGGCCCTCACCAAGTTTTTGGAGCCTTCTTCTGGTGTAAGCATCTCACGTGCGCATCGAAGAGACGAGTAGAACAAGGACTGTGATATAGATATGTCACAGCCGGGTTAGTTTAGCATTAATATTCTTGCTAGCAGTTAAGGTATAACATGTGAGGCATATATAATATCTAGTTAGTTTCTCAAGATATAATTTCATACAGTTGTAAATAGTCTACAATAATAAATTTCGATCGTAAGAGACTCAGCGAAGCAGCCAAAATATATCGATTTAAAACTGATTAGTTAACAGAAAAAAGATATACCTGAATCTCCAAAGGATGACCGTGAATACCCATGCGCCTATCAATCATGCAAGAGCCATCAGTGACAAGTAGAGACGGAAACATATCGAAACCGTCGGACAAACATAGGTTTAAAATCAATTTTATTCCCGTTTGTACGTCCACCCTTTCTTGCAGTGTGTAGTCACCCGTCAGCTTCCCGTAAGCTCTCAATAATATAATCCACCACAGTCCTGCACATAATTCAACATTATAAAAAACGAGAAAATTGCTGAAGTATGAGAAAATCAAGAATGTAAGAAAATAAACTAAATTATGGGTAAAGATTAACTAAAAAGAGAGACATTGACCACATACCAGAGTCAACAGGGGCAACGCGGCCAATAGCTGACTCCCCGAAATCGGGATCGAGAACTTCCTCGAACTTGTTATCATCTAAAGCAACTGTTCTAACTTTAAAACTAGCTGGCATCAATCCTTGTCCTGGACTGTAACAGTCTACAGTCTTCTCCCAGCTCTACAGACGACAAACGAGTGGGAACATTATGAATAAAGAAAAACGGACAAAACTCGATTAACGATCAAATGACAAATCAAGAAAACCCTGAAAAAAGCCAAGGGCTCGTCTACATTTCATTTATCCTAACTTTAATACATAGCAGCTTAAAATTTTAGCATCCGTTAATCATGCAATGTGCAGTAACACAATGAATCCATTTCCTTCAAGCAGCAACGGAACATCCTAATTTGCATCGGATCGTTAACACTTGCAAACAATAATCTCATTAAAAGAAAGATAGGTTCTCATTTTCACGGCCGCAACCAAATGCATATTTCAACCGGAACTATTCTTCAATTCATATTTTGATTTGAAAACATCATATCCTAAAATCAACGTTCACCAAAATACACATCAACATTTCATTCATCCTAATTTTAATACACATCAGCATATTTCAATAGGAACTATTCTTCAATCCGTATTTCGATTCCGAAACATCATATCCTAAAATCGATATTCACCGAACAAGACAATAAACCGAAACTCAAATACATACGTTAAACATTTACTTACAACACGAAAAACACGCATTACAAAATACGCACGAACAAGATCGAGATCGAATTACCTGCAACTGCAGAGTATGAAGCAAGAAATTCCTCACGATTTCACCCTCCCCCTTCAACAAAAACGCGAATGCCGACGGAATAAAATCCCGAATAAAAACCTGATCGTAATTAAGGGGCATTTTATCGTTCGGGTCATTCGCAGCCACAGTCCCGACGGGGCTCCCGCAATAACTCACAACCGCGTTTCTCAACAGCCTCCACGCCTCCTTTTCGACCTCCGATTCCTCCCTACCGATAACCTCCACACTCTCGATTTCGCCGTTCAAACCCTCGTTTTTCAATTCGCAATTGCCAATTTCCTCAAATTCAATCCCCTTTTTTCCCTCCTCCTCATTCTTCACAATATTTTCATCCAAATCAATTTTCTCGACGACAACCGGCTTCACATTTAGGTCACCGCCGTGCACGTAAATCCTCTCGAAATTCTTGTCGTTCACGCGCGTTTCGATCGATGTCGAGAAATTCCTGATATCCGATGCGAGAGTGGCGACCACATAGTAGGGGGGCCTGTGGGTGGTCGGGGGTGAGAATATTCTCGATTGGCCCCACGCCGCGATTCTCTTGCCGCCGGAATATTCCTTCCGAGATTCGTTGAAAACGGCTTTCACACCGGAAAAACGAGGCGAACAGGTGCCGTAGAATTTGTAGGTTTTCAATCGGGAAACACACAAATTGGAGGGAAAATTGGGGGATTTGGGAAAGGGGGCGGCGGCGAACATGATTCTGGAACAGGGCTTCATGATCATCAACGTGATGGAATTCATTTTTTTTTTTTTTTTTAAATTATAAAATAAGAATTACGATAAAGAAAAATAAATGAACGGGATATATGGTGAAGAAAGAAATTTGATGTTGCGGAAGAAATATCCCGTTCTAGGGTGAAGTTAATTATCTGGTTTGATGCAAGTTGTTGGTATAAATGGATATGAAAATAATGGAAAGAGGGCTAGAGAGAGAGAGAGAGCGAGAGGTGAGAGAAAGTATGGGAAGAAATGGCGTATTTGAAAGGTTTTCTTGGGAAATGGGAAACGGACCGTATTGCTAGTTAACGGCGTGGACTTCATAGATTCGTCAATTTTCTTGTCTACATTTTCATCCTTTCCTTATTTTTTTTTTCTTTTTTTCTTTTTTATTAATTATTATTATTATTCTTGTTATTATTCTTATTATTTATTGTTATTATTACTTCAACATGAATTTATTGCGAGTCGATTCTATTCTCAATCAACGTTTGTCCTTTGGACAAATTTAGTCATGTTTCAATTCTTATTAGGGTTTCTTGGATTTCTTGGCGCAACTTGTGTGAATCCAAGCGGAATTGTGGTATGGGCTTCCGGGACCTTAGGATGTTTAATTTGGCTTTGCTAGCGAAACAATTATGGAGAGTGTTGACGTCCCCGGATTTGCTTCTTTCACGTATTATCAGAGCTCGATACTTTCCAAGTGGAGATATTTTTAGAGCTGTTGCAGGCATAAGACCGTCGGCGACATGGCAGAGTATGCTCAAGGCTAGCCCGTTCCTAATTAGAGGGCTTCGTCGCCGTATTGGAGATGGCAAGGACACTTCAATCTGGGGCGATCCCTGGTTGCGAGATGACGGTAATTTCCAGATTATTACTAGACGGCCCATTTATTCGAGCTTCCCAGACAAAGTTGCTGATCTGATAGATCCATTGACAAATACATGGAATGTCAAGCTCATTCGGGAGCATTTTTGGGATATTGATCAAAATAGAATTTTGGAAGTCCCTATTGGAAGTGTATATGCTAAAGACCGATGTGTATGGCACTATTCCAAGAATGGCCTATTTTCAGTTCGGTCTTGCTACCATGTCGTTATGCAGGGGACTCAAAACTCGAATGGTAATTGCCGAGGTGGGATAGAGTCGACAAGTGGTCTTCATCCTTGGAGATGGCAGCTTATTTGGAAGATTAAAGTCCCACCGAAAATTAAGGTTTTTCTTTGGTATGCATGCTGGGGCATACTTCCGACAAACGCGGAGCTATGGAGACGCAAAATTATTCACTCGCCGGAGTGTCCTCGATGTGGGTCTCCTGTGGAATCTATTATGCATGCTCTAACTGTGTGTGGTGGAATGAGGGAAGTTTGGGAATCGGATCCATTTAGACTAGAGCTGGAAGATTACTCATCTGTTTGGAAATGGATCGAAAAGCTACAAAGTAAACTTCGCGAAGAGCTATTCTTACTAGCTGTGGTGGTTATGTGGAAGGGGTGGGAAACACGGAATAAAGTGGTGCATGGAGAGACAGGGCTGAAGTCAGAGCGGATGGTGGATTGGAGTCGGGATTACCTACACGCATTCCGGCAGGCATTACTTCCATCAGCAACTAGAATGGAAGCTACACACCAAAGTCAATGGAAAGCGCCTCCTATTGGGTCGATAAAAATTAACTGTGATGTTGGCTTTCCATCGGGGAAGAATTTCTACACAGTAGCGGCTGTGGCTCGAGATAGCGAAGGCAATTGTTTGCGTTGGGGTATTCGAAGTTTGGAAGGCCGTCCACGGGTAGAGGATGGTGAAGCCTTTGCTGTTCTTCATGCTCTAAGGATGGCCCAGCTCCAAGGTTGGAGCTCAATCATTATTGAAGGAGACTGCTTAGAGGTGATCAACACGTTTAAAGACGGGATTCTCACGCTCAACTCTTTTGGCTCATTTGTTGAAGACGGTTTAATTATTGCTCGTTTATTTTCTCATTGTGTATTTCAATTTGTTAAACGTTCCGGAAATCTTCTCGCTCATAGACTAGCTACTCAAGGCTCTTTTATTTGTACTGAGGATTTCTCGTTGCCTCTGAACTTGGCCATGGTCGCCTAATAATATTGCTATTCTTGCTGTAAAAAAAAAAAAAATTCTTATTAGGGTAAGGATCGTCGACCTTCTGAGTTAAGCTTCTGAGTTAAGGTCAAATTATGAAAAAGTTATTTATGCTTAAGTAATTGCAATTACCTCTATGAATTTTCTTACAAGTCCACATTTATGGTGTCAAATTAAAAATAATTTTGTACATTCTCTGGATTTCACTAGGTTGTATTCGTTTTGTACAAAAATGCAGTTTCTGATGTACTACAATCTGATATTTACAAGCCACAAAACACATCTTATGATCATCTTATTTCAAAATCTGGAGCTCGAATGGGGTAAAACGAGTACAAATTGGAGAATATTCAACATAATCTAGAAAATTCCACTAAATTTGATGTCGCAATAGTGTACATGTAAGAAGATCCATAATCGAAGGGAGTTGTTGTAATTACCCAAACATGGACTTCGACCCTACACTCGGTGATAAATACCGGGTGGGTCTTTCTGCTGCCACTAGGGTTAACCTGTAGGGGTTTTAGAGAAAAGCAGAAAAGGACACGTGGCAGCAGAAGACTCACATGGTATTTATCACCGGGTGTAGGGTCGAAGGAGCCTTAAACATGAAAGGGTTTTTTTTTTTTTATAATTTGACCTTGCATCAGGGTTGCCGTAATTTACCTTATTATTATTTTTTTCGTGGGCTAAATACAGTTTACACCCTTAAAGTATGGGTCTTGTAACACTTACCCCTGATGTATGAGATGTACCATTTTCCCCCTTCTGTTAATAACTTGACGGTTGGAATCTTCATTTTGTTGACGTGGCACATTGTTTGACGGTTAGTGTATGTGTACTGCATCTCATCAGTAAACTGTGTTGTGATATCGGCATGCATAAGTGGGTGCTCGTAAGTTGAAGAGTTCACTAAACTCCCTCACCCTAGAAATCTCTAAGTGGTTCTCAATTTGGCTCCTGCTGCAGCAATGTGTTGTGCCACTGCTTCAGTGGCAGCTAGAGTTGAAGCCTCTGCGATCATACGCTGAAGGGTCTATTTGGTTATCTGAACCTAGTGGGGCCTCGCGAGGAGGATCTTGTGGTGGATCCCGAATATGAGAAGGGGGAAGCGGCAACCTAAAGCCTCCACGAGGTGGGAGGTTGTTAGTAGTGTCACGCTCCCCTCGAGCAGATGTCTCAAGGCCATCATGTGCACTACGTGATCTAGTCTGCCTTCCCATGGACGGTGTCATTACGATGATGATAGAATTAGATCACCTGATACAGTTGAAGTAGGATGAGCTGGAAGAGTAAAGTGGATCACTGGCTCACAAGCTTGATGACCCCGAGATACCTGCGATCAAAAAACACGTAAACTAAACCGGAGGTTGATCCGACGGAAACCCCTCTGACGCTCAAGTCAGGCGCGTGGATTACAAAAATCATAAAGAGAATATGAGCAGTTGTATTGTTTGAATATTGAACGTAGCTTAACAAATGAGTTAAAATCTTTATTTATACCTCGTTCATTGACTGAAGTTATTTAGTTGATATTGTCGGGCCCAAACCTTATTTGAAGATGATTGGGCCTTCGTTGTAGTGATCTTTAAAATTTAGTTCGTGACCCAGTAAATAAAAAAAATTTAGGCATTGTAGACTCATTGATCTGTCCGATTAGACATGTCAATGTCTTACTACACAAGATTTAAAAAACTAATATTATATAAAATATGAACAATACTATACTCTTAAATTTTACTATATATGTTAGAGTAATATTTTTTATTTTATTTATTGCTATAGTTATGTATTAAATTGGTCATTTTAATATTTTTCACCTTTAAAATGCTATCTCGTTGGAAAAAAAATGTTAGTTGTTTTAAATTGTGTATGTTTTGCATATATAAAACATATGCGAGGGTAGTTTCATAATATGCATAACATTTGGGGCACCTTCCAGAATAACTAAAAGTATTCGCACTTCTCTCTGCACAATTTTTCTTTAGAAAACCCCGAGAAGAATAATTTCAGTACTTCGTCAATAAGCTGAATTGAAGAGGGCGCTACAGAATCGCAATTTCCCAACAATGGATCTGAATCCAGTAAGTTTTTCGTAATCTCCCCTCGTACGTTGAAATTCTCCGCCGCTGTTTCCGTACAAGCATTAATTTTTGAATTTGTTGATTATGATTTTACTTATAGTTCTTCTGCATCGTAGATTCGATTAAGAGATCTCATTTGTTGGGAGCTGGATTTGCTGATTGATTTTTTTTCTTGGGTGAATTTGTTGATGTATTGTTTAGATCACGAATGCCGATTTTTCTGCAATTAGGGAAAACAATTAAGAAATAGCTATGGGCAACTGCTGTAATCGAAAATTGAAATGTCGATCACCATTCATCAAGTAAAGGATCCTGGGAAATTATTTGTGTTTATGTGGGACTTGACCCCGAGATCTCGTAATTTTACGACTCGAGTAGAGCTTTTTTATTCTGGTTCTGCGAAGATTTTGATGGGGTAGAAATTTAGGTAACTCGTTTTTCAATAGATTCATCTCACACACACACATGATTGAAATGAAGGCAAAATTAGGCTTGATCTTTAGTATCGTTTTAGAGACCGTGGCTTCGTCTTTTATACGTTTCTGTACGAGAATTTGTTCTTCTTAAATTCCCGGTGGAAACTTAAGTCAAACGAACTGATGGGATGTCAAAATGTCAAGATTTTCGATGATTATTCGTCAGGCTGTATACTAGTTGCAATTTATCGGACAACGTGACATGCAATATGTTAAGATCGTTACAGGAACCGTAATAAATTTGCCTTAGTGGCTTCGGCCTTCATTGGATATAACTTTGCTCGTCTGCTAAGTCTTGTTCTCTGGGATTTCTGACTGAAAATGAAATCTATAGTACTAGTACTCATGGGACATATATAATTTGATGAAGATGCGAAATTGTGGTCTACCATATGCTATTTCGACTTTGCACGATGCCGTGTGATGTGTTGAAAATAATTGCTCGTTTGTCTAATTTAGTATTTTCTTACATTGGGGTTAGCAGACACATGCTTTCAGATATTCATGCTATATAGCCATATATGTGATTTTGGTTCTTTCTTGAAATAAATTACAAAAATCCACTTGCAAGCATGAACTGACGTAATTATATAAAGATTTTAATTCTGCCTGCCTCGGTTTGTGTGTGTGTGTGTGTGGCTCTGTCAAGCACCTATGTGATGTTTCAACTTAGTAATGGACTTTGATCTCAGTTGCAACATCAGTTTTGGTGTTCGTTTGAAGCAAACATGCAACATTCAAAAGTAAGTGATGGGGGGAACACATTTTGATTACTGAAAGATAGATCGAGACAAAATACCAAAATATTCATTGTTATTAGGGGGTGGGGTGGGGATTAATTGAGTTAATTACCTTTACGTTTTATTGACTTTTATCCGTGTGTCAATTCATTGAAGCAACCAATCAGATTATGGGCATCGGTTGCAGTTGTAGGACATGTCTTAACACATCTTATCAGATCATTTTATAGATTTCTCCCGTTACTTATTTTCCAAAAAATAAAATTGAGAGTTAAATATTCGTGTGTCCTGACTCCTGACCATAAAATCGAAACTGGAGTTGACTAAACAAGCGAGATCGAGACATTAAATCTTTGATTATCCTAACCATATAATTTCACTGGAGAAGTGCTGAAGATATTATGAATTGATTGTTTTCTCCCAATTTTTTTTCGATCATATCTTTCTTTCCGTATTCTATATATGTTACTTTATTTCTTATGTTAGCATATACAGCACCTTGTTTTACATTTGGGGTAAAAACTGGTGCATCTGAACCGTAAAAAAAAACGACAAGACTTTATAAATTGTTAACAGGGGAAGTCCCGTTAGAGTAATGCTGGACGATGAAAATTTACATTTATGCATCTTGATTACAATAGATACAACTCATTATCTGTATGATTCATCTTAATTTTCTTCGGTTCTCTCGTATGAGCTATGAAATAAAGTAATCATGCACAATAAAAGTAATGACGTAACTCAGACTAACTTGTATCTGTGCAGCCTCCAGGGGAGAATTACGCTAATCCAAAGATATGCTTCTTCCACGTGCTGTTCAAGGTCAACTGCCAATTCTTTTTTTAATTGTTATTTTGATATATTTGTTTGTTCTGTAATATTTTAAAAAATATATATATTGGCTTTCTGTGTGTACAGGCTGCCGCATTGGCATTTTATATTCTTTCAGCTCTATTCGTCGACAGTTTCGTCATCATCTTTGTGGTCACTGTACTTCTAGCTGCCCTCGATTTTTGGGTAGTTAAGAATGTAAGTGGACGCATCTTGGTAGGACTTAGGTGGTGGAACGAAATTAACGATGATGGTGAAAGTGTGTGGAAATTTGAATGCCTTGACCAAGAGGTAACGAGATCCATTGCCTTGTATTGATTTGCATCTTAACAAGTAAAATAATCGAGTTTTTTTATCCGTATTTATTCCTCCTCGTTTTCAGTCGTTGGCTAGGATGAACAAGAAGGATTCATGGCTGTTCTGGTGGACCTTGTACCTCACTGTAAGTAACCAATTTTGGATTTAACTATCATCAAGAAATTTGTCTACTCGATTTTCTACATAACAAAACGAAGCATAAATGATTATCTTGAAATTTAACTAAAGAAATGTGCCGTTTATTTGTAGGCTGTTGTGTGGGTATTTTTTGCGATCTTCTCTCTCGTCAGGTTTCAAGCTGATTATTTGCTTGTTGTTGGTGTATGTTTGACCCTCAGTATTGCCAATATTGTTGGCTTTACTAGGTGCCGCAAAGGTATGTTGACTGATTCATTCCTATCCCCAAAATCTCGTATTTTTCATATCCTTAGGTCTTGTTTGGTTGGGGAGATTAGCCATGATTAATTAAATAATTGGACTTTGTTTGATGTTTGGTATCCCCAAAAACTTGCCGGGTCGACCAGCAAATATTATGTCATCATGGTTTATCCTGCCTTTTAGAGAGATTTTTTGTTGGACGTCCCGGGGTCCGATAAAATAATTGAGTTTTCATTAGATTATTTAATTTTATCGTGGCAACCAAACGAGGCCTTAGACATTTAATTGCAAGGGAACTTGGCAGCATGTCAATAGTTAAGGGGAATGGGATGTGGCTTTATTTGAGACCAAGTTTACGCATTTTTTTTTACCACCTCTATTATTTTTTACGAGCCGTAACTGTAGTTTTAGAAGCTTCCAATACGACTTTTTTTGGAATCAGCATATGTTGTGTGATAATTAGCATTCCGTAATTTGTGTTTGCTGCCGAGGAATAATGGTTTGTGTTTTTGGCAGATGCTAAGAAGCAGCTCCAAGCATTTGCGACGCAGACAATTGCTTCTCGGTTCACGTCCACCGTTCAATCTGCATTTAGTGCTATTTGAAATGGTGTTCCTTTGTCTGCATATATACACGAGCATCGTGTTTGTCGTTTTTTTCTTTCTAGGAGATATATCAAACATAACTGGCTCATGGTTTATTATGTAATATGTTGATTTTTTTGAAGGCCTTGTAATACATTTTGTAATTCATAGTAATTCATACCCTAATTTTTTTTTTTTTAATTCATACCCTAATTGAGTATACAAGTATTTGCTGCTTCTTTTGTTACATTGCTTCAATCCCTTCTTTTTTCTTTTTTTTTTTTTTTGGCTTAAAACATGAATTCCACCCCTACATCTTGGAAAATGGTACTGCGTCGAGTTTGTGCGAACCCAACACTCGACTATGAAGATTTTAGAGCTCATTATTTGATCAATAAACTCGTCGTATTACAAACATATTTCATACCGAAATAGACAATTGTATGCAAGAATAACCCAATTCGTGAAAGAAAGCTAATGACTTGAGCGTCAGAGGGATTTTCGCCGGATTAGTTCCCAACCTAGTTTACGTTTATTTACCCTTGCAGGTTCTAGACTCAGACGTTCTTAGCTTCCACGAGGTCACGACTCTACCTACGTCACCTACTCGAGTGTAGTGACCTACCCTAGCATTCCTATTTAATCTACTCAAGGTGGATAATACATCATCACACTCGAATTCAACCATACTATTAAGGGTAATTGGCATTTTGCACCCTTCAATTTGATGTCATTGGTACTTTGAACCCTTAAATTGAAAAAATAGCAAAATGCACCTTCTAATTATAACTCACAGGGCAAGTGCACCCTGGTTCACCTTTTGACTAAGAAAATGACCGGTTACTTGTTTCCTGTTTTATAGGTAGGTTATCTTATTACTTGACAAAGTGCACCCTAGTTCTTGACTTCCACTTAATGAAACAACGGAAATAACGATGCTACACCTGGTGAATATAACCAGGCACCCTAATTGATAAGATTTTCACTACAGGTTCAGTTATGGCCTATGGGGTTTTAGAAATATAATTATAAAATAAATTAAAAATGACACATGTCAACAAGAGAGCTACCCCGTGAAACAACATACACCGGTTCTTCTCCTTATTCCTGTCGCAAATCACGTGTTTTAGCCTCTTTCGGAGATTCTATAAATATTCTAGGACAACTTTATACATTATTATGGAAATAAAATTATAAAACAACCATAAACAAAAATATTACATATATAAATGGGGATATAGATGAAAGCAAAAATGAATTTAGAAAAAAAAAAAAACAACTGCGCGTGATACCGAGATAGAGGGGACGACTGTGCTTCGTTTTGCCCCAACTGGTACTGCAAGGTAGTTAGTTATTCCATCCTGCTCGTACATATGCGAGCATCCTCCGTCACCCTATGTTCTTGATTTCCGGCTTCTTGTTCTTCTTTTTCAAAATTTATCGTGTCTTTCTCTGAAATAACTGATTTGTACGAGCACCCATTCCTAAGGATCAGATCTGCACAGCATAATAACGTTCTTCGGTGTAATGCAAATGCTCACCCTTGATGTTTCTTCTTGTTCCTTTTCCCCCTTAGCCGTCACAATCAAGGTTCTAAAAAGCAGTAACTGGGTCGGAGGCGGTAAGGGACCGACTCACGATTAATCGGTGCGGCGGTGATAATCGGTGATAAATTTAGTTCAAATTATGTTTCGTTTGAGGGGCTCATAGCATATTAACCCTATTTATAAATACTCAAAACATATATAAAAAGATATTTAAACGTAGTTATATCCCCGTCATGTATATACCTAATAACATAATAAAAGAATAATAAGATCATAATACATAAATATCCTTATAAAATATAAATAAAAAGACATTTTTTTTTAATTTACATTTATTCTTGAACATTTCTGGCATACATCATTAGTTCTTTAACAATAATAATTAACATAAACAAAATAAAGCATAAACTCATTTTTTTTTATTAAAATCCCAACTTTTATTTTGAAGTATTAAAAAACAAAAAAAAACAAAAAAAAAAAAACCGATTTTCGCCACCGAAGTTTGACCCGCTTTAAAGGTTTGACCGCCTCGGACCGTCTCAGACTGCCTCGGACCGCCTCAACCCGCCTCAAACCACCTCACAGGCAAAAAATTGATTTTTCAAACCTTTACACTAAAATCGTAAAGGTTTTGGACCGCCTCCACCTCGAAGATCGATTAATCGGCCGCCTCGGCTGAGTTTTAGAACACTGGTCACAATTATTCTTTCACCGTTAACATAAGTATCGATGACGCCAACAACCACCTCAAAACTCCCCCATCTTCAATCCTTCGCCGCCACAACTCACCGACACGAGCCACCTCCCAAGAACAACGCAACAGCAATACTCGTCAAGAAATTAAGCAACCTTTTCTTAATGCACGGAAACAAGCAACTGAATTTCATCGCTGAAGCGTGCAAAACATAGGTAGCCGGTCACTTTTTTAGCCAAAATGTGAACTAGGGTGCACTTTACCAAGCAAGTTGTAATTGGAGGCTGCATTCTGCTATTTTTATAATTTACGAGTGCAAAGTGCCAGTGACATCTAATTTGAGGGGGCAAAATGCCAATCACCGTACTATTAATGATTTCTAGGTCGATATCTCATCGCATTAAGTCGTATGATTTACAAATTATTGCATTATATATATGACTAGCTGATCTCGGGTTCTTTTGTAAGAGCAACTCCAACAGTGTCATGGAAACCTATAATTTACATCTTTTGCACACTTTCAACTAAAAACCACATCTCCAACAACAAAATGCAAAAGCTTAGACTATGCAAGAGTTTAACTTTGGTTTCTCAAAATTTGGAAAACGAAAGTTAATTTTTAACAAATTGTGTAAACATTTAAATAATAAAATAATCACATCAAATCCCATTCAACCACAAAATATGGTAGTTTAACTCGAAGTATTTTTTAAGGGATAATTAGTGAGATTCCCCTCACTCATTATGTATGATAAGAATGGGTCCAACCATGTTTACTTTATTAGTGAAAACCCCCTACTTATTTAATTAAATTAATATTTAATAAATTAAAATTCAATATATCGTATTTAACCCTCACATGTCATATTATTTTTAAGATTTGTGATTACATGAAACTCTATTTCTCTTTTCCCTTCTCCTTTTTCTCTCCACTAACCAACATTCTCCACTTCTTCAACCATAGTTTGAAAATCATTCTTCTGCCGCCGCTAATTCACCTCATCCGCCGCCGCGCTCCACTGTCACCGCCCTACATCCGCCAAAGCGGTTAGAGATGCTAGGGTTTCGGATTACGCCATTAGAGAGACTTCTCCAGGCCGCCATCACCCATTTCCACCTCCGCCCCGCCGCCATCATCTCCTCCCTATCACCTCTGGCCGTCGCGCTCTCTGTTCTTCGCCGTCGCCATCTCCTTCCTTACAGGAATTCAAATTACAAAAGAAAACAAATGTCTCACTTTTTTTTTCCTTTTAAGAATTCACAATTTAATTTTTAATTTTTGTGTTAGTGTGTAGTGTGTTTGTGAAAGGTTTTAGCAAATAAACTGAAGCTTTGGTTGGGGCAGGTTTGTATTGTTTGAACTTTGAAGGCCAATTTTTGTTCAATCAATGGTAGAGTGAGTGTTCGTTGTTGAAATTGTATTGATGTTATTTACAGAAATATAGTTTTCGATATTTTATAGTTGATTTGAAAAAAATTATAGATATTTTTGATTTTTTTATACTTGATTTCGTTAATTTTTTAGTTGATTTTATTAGGTAAACCTGCTATTGAAAAAACTAATTTTAGTAGTTGTTTTACAATTTTCTCATAGTTGATTCGGGAAAAAAAAGATTGTTTTCAGTAATTTTGTAGCTGGTTGTGGAAAATAAATAAATAAATAAAAAAGTGAGAAAAAAGCGAAATTGTAGTTGATTCCGAAAATATTATAGTTGTTTTCGAAATTTTTGAAGTTGATTTGAGAACCCAAAAACAGAAAATTGAAAAAAAAATTAATTTCTTTTTAAAAAATAATTTTAAAAAAATAATATGTTATTTTTAGAAAAAATAAATAAATGAAAATTATAATTGAAACTAATTAAAGTATGTAGTGAATAGTAGAATGATATATTTGGAATAAGAGAAAAATTGGACCTATGACTAATAACGGAAAAGGAGTTGAACTCATCCTTATTAAAAAAATACTAGAGGGGGTTTCACTAATCGCCCATTTTCTTAATTAATTAAATTATCCGAAGTTGAAATTATTTTGACGAAAATATTTATATATATTACTTCTTATTAATAATACTAAAATATTAGTTATTATTATTATTTTTAATAATTTTTAACTAGTTTTCACAATTTAGTTGTTGGAATATGGTCCTTGAAATATAATTTTTGAAATTGATTAAAAAATAAAAATTTGCAAAATAATAAAGTATAATAATTGTGTAAAATATAAACAATGTGGTTAGAGTGTGAAGTTAGAGCAACTCCACCAGTTGTGCTATATGCAAAATTTCAGCAAAATTTTACAATTTTTACTGAAAATCAAAGCTCCAGCATCTCTTTTATATTATCAACCACATGGCATATTATAAATTCGGCTTGTCAAATTTGAAACACCAAGAGGGTGAAATGGCAAAATCATTTTTGTAAAATCAAGTTACAGTACAATTGCACAAGTTCGCAACTCTATATCACAATCTTTAATTATTTAATTAACACTTAAAACGAGCGTTGAAATATAACACTTAAAATATAATCATTTAATTGAAATTTAAATTATTATTTTAAATATTTTTTTTATTATATCATCAAATATGTGAATTATAATAACAAAATGTAAAATCATGTAATACAAAATATATATTGGAATGTGTAGTAATGTTGTAAAGTGGTGTATTAAAATATAAACCACTGCTGGAGTCAGAAAAAATGGTGTGCTAAAATACTGTTCACTGTGTATAATTTGATAAGAAAAGATAAATTGTAGCACAATTGTTGGGGTTGCTCTTAAAAATGGTGTTGTATAATAAATACTATTTATAGCTAAATTATAGATATAGACAACTGTGTTTAAACGAGGTGTTAGAGATGACCTAACAAAGATTAAAAAAAAAAAAGGGCAAGAAAAAAGAAAGAGGACAAAATTCCAAATTCCACCATAGGAATATTAAGGGCAAAAATGTCTTTTAACAGAGTGAGATGCATCGGACGTGGGAAATGGGGAAAATGCAGATTGATTGTTTGAGAGAACAAGAGGCTGAGGAGATGTGGATATAAACCATAAGCTGTGGCTATAGTAGATCGAGGCCACTCTCTTATCCCCAAATCGTAAAAGAATCAATGGCGGAAATTCAAATTCAATCAACAAAAACACCCACCAAAACCCAACCCCCTTCACAAATTTTCCCCACACACAAAACTTCAATCAAACCAATCAATGGCGACTATGGTGGTGGTGCACCACAAACAGCCCTCCTCCGCCATCCTCTCTTCCTCACTCTCCGATTTCAGTGGCGCCAGGCTTACCGCCTCCGTCCAGGTATAATTATATACATACATATATACATACAGAAAGTAGTTAGGGTTTTCGGATTGTTTACTTTCTCATTTATATGTGAAAAATGTGTTAGGGTTTCTGTGATATATATACATATATATATAGATATTTGTGTATGTAGATATTCATGAATACACAACTATGTATCTATACTTGCACTTGGAGCGTAGAGTCGTAATTATCGGGTTTGCTTACGCTTGTTATTAAATGTTGAGATTCGATAATGCGTTTGTAACTTCAATTTTCATACGAAGATGTCTGCGTATACACGATTCACGGAACAAAGTTAGTGTACTGAGTGACGGTCGACTCGATTTAGGTTGTGAATGCGGAAAGAAACAATTGTCGTCGTAGTTTGTGTTTGTGGCGAATGATAACGCAAATTGAATGTAGTGAAGATAAATTGATTGCGAGTGATGCAAGTTCAGTATGAGTAATTCGTTTATTAATATTATTTTTGCAGTATAAGAGGAAAGTATGGCAGTCGAAAAGTGCACTTAGTGTTACAGCATCGAGTGAGAAGAAAATACTTATAATGGGAGGCACTCGATTCATTGGCCTATTTTTGTCCAGACTTCTTGTCAAAGAAGGCCATAAGGTTTATTTATTTGCCTTCATTTTTAATTGTTTAAATTTTTTTTTTGGCTCGGAAAATTCTAAGTAGTTTGATTTAAGCGCAGGTCACCTTGTTCACCAGAGGAAAAGCACCCATTGCTCAACAATTGCCCGGTGAATCGGATACTGAATTTTCCGATTATGCCTCCAAGGTATTTACTTATGTTAATTGTTAGGTATTTATAAAATAAAAAAATAAAAAATAAAAAAAGATTCTCGGAAATAAAACTGCACTTTTCATTTTGTAGATCTTGCACTTAAAGGGAGACAGAAAGGACTTTGAATTTGTGAAGAGCAGTCTTTCCGCAGAAGGATTTGACGTTGTTTACGATATCAATGGTCTGTATTAAATTGATTTTTCGTATTTTCATCTTCAACCAGATGATGCTTCAAAAAAACTTTATGGAATAAAAAAATCATTTATTTTGTGAATTTTTGACTTGATTCTCAGGGCGTGAAGCCGATGAAGTGGAGCCCATTTTGGATGCTTTGCCAAATCTAGAACAGTAAGCTTTATACCGTTATTTAACGACGAGTTGTCTGAATATTAGAAAACTATCTAAGTTGATCACGAATTCTAAATTTAGTTTTTTCGCGCTGAATATACATGGTTTGATTTTCTTTTTTTTACAATTTACTTACCCGTTTCGACTGAATTTTAGGTACATATACTGCTCATCAGCCGGAGTTTACCTCAAAACCGATTGTCCACCACATTATGAGGTCAGCATTAATATGTCCAGTATGAAACAATTAAATTAATCCTCATTGTTGTATATGTGAAATCGGACAGTTTTTTTTTTTTTCAAGAAAAAATTATATTTTATTTTGTTTTATTATTTAAATCTGATGTGAGTTATATGCTGTATATGGAAGGTTGATGCGGTTGATCCAAAGAGTAGACACAAAGGAAAGCTCGAAACCGAGAGCTTATTGCAATCACGAGACGTAAACTGGACTTCTATAAGGCCAGTGTACATTTACGGACCACTCAACTACAACCCGGTTGAAGAATGGTTCTTCCACCGTTTGAAAGCGGGTCGACCCATACCCATTCCCAACTCCGGAATTCAAATCACACAACTCGGTCATGTCAAGGTCATTTTTCAATATTTCATTACTTTTTGACAAAAAAATGAAAATTTTAACTTTCACTTACATTCTGAGTTTATTGTTTATGATAGGGAATCTTATTTTAATTGAATTTTTTTTTTTGGCAGGACCTCGCGACAGCTTTTATTAAGGTTCTTGGTAACGAGAAAGCGAGCAAGGAAATATTCAATATATCTGGAGAGAAATACGTTACCTTCGACGGATTAGCAAAGGCTTGTGCTAAGGTAAATTGTGAGCATAAGTAGTCCCATAACATGTTAAGGCCTCGTTTGGTTGGTACCATTATCCACGATTAATTGAATAACTGGAGTTTATTGCATGATCGGTTAGTCCAGTAACTTTTCGTGCGGCCCCGCAATTGTGAAAAAAATGGCTCTAATCTTGGCTAATTCAGCAATATAATTGGGTTTTCATAAAATTATTTAATCTGATCTTGGCTAATTTTATCTTAGAAACCAAACGAGCCCACGTGTTAAAAGCGTTGTATTTCATGAATTTTTTGTGTTATTTATTATTAGGCTGGTGGATTCCCGGAGCCTGAGATTATTCATTACAATCCGAAGGAGTTCGATTTCGGTAAAAAGAAACCGTTTCCTTTCAGGGACCAGGTAATAAAACTTTTTCATTTATTTCATAATGTTCAATCATCAAATATAACCATAAATTTTGTTTTAATTCTTTTTTTTTTTTGTTTTTAAACGATGAATGCAGCATTTCTTTGCATCGGTTGACAAAGCAAAGAGCGTGCTCGGGTTGAAACCGGAATTCGATCTGGTTGAAGGGCTTACAGATTCTTACAACCTGGACTTTGGCAGAGGAACATTCCGGAAAGAAGCCGATTTCTCCACCGATGACATCATTCTCGGAAAGAGTCTTGTTCTCCAGAGCTAGTTCATAAGTTACGGTTGTTTCGTTTTTTTTTTGGCCCCCTTTCTGTTTTTATTATAATACATCGGAAAATAATATTTATCCAAGTTCTCACTCTTTTGGGCATGGAATGGAAAGAAGCATGTTCTTGTTAACGGCCCAACTTCCAATTCGTTATTGAAAATTACGAAACAACCCTCGTGAATGAATACTGTCGAAACAAGAAAAATATTAATTTTGAAAAGATTATTAATCTATCAATAATAAATAATAAAAGGTAATCCATTTAATCTTTCTTGATTCATGGTTGATTGGAGTTAAGATTTTAATTAACTTCAACTTTGAGAAACATCAATTCAGAAAAATCCATTCATCTTTCACGTGCTTCAACACTTCAATTATCATTTCTGTTTCGCCCCAATTTCTCTCGGTACTCTTAGTTCATACAATGTTTTGGAAAAGAAAAGAAAAAAATCGAACTTAACGCAAAGAAGGTTTCACACATTCGTCGTTTACTAATTTCAATTATTTAGATCCAACGGGAAATCGAATTGTGTTTATTCAAACTTTGGAAATCTTCATTTCTACAACTAACTATGAGCATAATCAATATCAATCATGATAAATCAACTCTTTAGGTTTCTTCTTCTCATAGGGGTACATATTCAATCTTGTTCTAATCAAATTATGTTTTTTTAATTACCCAAAATTTGAGGAAATGACTTCAACTTATATTTTGGTTTTCTGAAAACTTGTTTAATAACTTAATTAATTAGTGTGCAACAATATTAAAATAAAATGGAGGTAAGTACAAATTAATAGAAATTTAATAAATTTATCTACAATAAAAAAATTTATCCAAAATTTATTGCGTTTAAGATTTGGAGTGTGATATTACGGTGGTGTTTGCAAAAGTTTTTAGAAACAAATGAACTTTTCTTTGCTCATAAACTATTTTTAAATGTTTGTAAAATTAACTTTTGCTTTTGATTCTCTTAAAATAAGTTGTTTTAAGTTATTTTTTTTAAAATAAACATAGACTTGTTTTTTCTATTTAAGTTTATTTTTCAAAATATTTGCAACCACCCTCAACTTTTATAAATAAACACTAGGCAATGTTTGTAACTGTTTTTATTTTGTTTTCATTGATTCCGCAAAACAAAATTGTATTTATGAAACTTCTTAATTAGTTTTCTCAAAACAATCTCAAAAGTTTATATCTCCTTCAAACATGATGTGACTGCTACAGTAAAATGATTTAACTGCTACAGTAAAAAAAAGTCTTCACTAAAAAAAACAAATAAACATCACTTCGTCTTTCAATTTTTTTCCTCTAAAATATCTTTTTCTAATACTTTTAAACATGATTTGACTGCTACAGTGTATTTTGTCTCCTTCCAAAATATAAACAAACATTATTTTCATTCTCAAATTCTTCCCCAAAAACATATTTTCTCAAAATAAAATTAAAATAAATTCCAAATTGCTTCCAAACAGTGCCTAAATATCTATTTAATTCACAATTACTAACTTATACTTTTTAATAAACTTATGCATACACCATCCAGTTGTTAAAATCTCGTTGTACTCATATGATACTTGAAGTGAATATCTGCTGTACACGTGGCAGCTGATCTGGTCAGGGTTATTAGTTGAAGCTGCCGAGAAAATAGGGAAGGATTTGGCCGGTGCTACTACAAGTGAAGAAGTCGGTGTTAATTTAAGTCATATTATAATTATTAATTTACACTCTATGGGGCCCACAATATCTACACGCTATTGTGATGATATAGGCCTGGAAAATGGAAATTGTAATGTAGTTCCTGATTTTACTTTTGACAATAGGGTAATGATATATGCAGGCCAAATTAAACATTCAGGTAATTTTTTACCATGATTTTTTACTTTTTTACCATAACTATTTACCTTTTGTACTATTCATATGCACAAAATCGGACTTTTTTTTATTCATGTGCTCGTGTGAATTTACGCGAGCACTTGGCAAGTGCTTTTCGTTTTTTTTTTCGGATTCGTAATCTACATAACAAGAGGATCGTAAAAACGTAAAAGTTACCTCCGATCTGTTGACGATTTGCACGGGCTTTGCGAAAGAAAATCGAAAGGGTAGAGAGAGTTTTTGAGTTTTTTACCTTTTGTTTTTTGAGAAATGGTAAAAAATGTGCCTGAATGTTTAATTTGTGCCTGCACAAATCATTTCAGTTGACAATATATCGTTGATAGATGATTGTAATTACTTAGATAACAATAAGGGTTTTTTTGTAATTTAACCTATCTTAATGGAGAGCCGTAATTTGTCCTTTTAAGTTTTAATTAATCAAGAAGAAAGTTAAAAGCTCCCTGTCGAAGAGTAATTCAATGGAAATTTTATAATATAGAAATTATGTGGATCGTTACGCACTCTTTTCTTATATCTTTATGATGGGTGCACATTTGAAACGAACGGTCCATTAAAAGAAGAAAATCGAATTCCATTAACAAAAACACAGGTGTAATCTTTGTTTTAAAATGAACAAATCACCTTGATAAAAATGACCAAAGGTGCATTTCTAATATTAAATAACTCAAAATTTAAAAGTTATACACACCGTTTTATTCATATATTTTTTAGCCACATACAATTTTGCTGATTCAAATTGAATTAGAGCGCCGACTAATTTTTTGTTGATTCGATATACACTATGACTGTAGCCCTAATACCAGGATTTTCTAGTTTATTCAAACCATAAATTTCTTTATTTCAAAAAAAAAAAAAAAACCATAAATTTCTTACCCCATGTTTTTCTCCCTCTGCACCGCCCATATCCTCTCGAACTTTCTCATCACCTACATCTAACCGTCCAATCATTCAACTTCCCCCTCTCCCACACGTGTACGGTCCAGATTCATTTGATTAAACAATTGCCTCTACTTCAATCCCCATTACCTAACACCACCACGTTTTCCGAGTTTTTTTTTCCTTTTCTTTTTTTTGAGGAAACCACCTTTTCCGAGGGTAACCCACTAGTTTAAGAAACAAATAAAAATAGGGTAAATTACCACTATACCCCTAAAGTATGCTAAAATAACTTTAAGGTCCCTATGGTATTGATAATTATATTTATTCCCCTAAAACATGTTAGAAACTCTAACGCGATAATACATTGGATAAGTTATCCCGTTATAGCTCTAACGGACTATTAGTTTCAGGAAGTAATTGAGACAATATAGAGCAGGGGATGACATGATTCCCCCTACATTTCTTAAATCACCCCTTAGCTCTATGTTCTCTCCACCACTTCCTGAAATTAATAGTTCCTTAGAATTATAACGGGAAAATTCATCCAACGCATTATCCTGTTAGAGTTTCTATTAATGTTTCAGGGTGTGTTTGTAATTATCGATACCATGGGGACCTTAAAATTATTTCAGCATACCTCAGGGACCTATTTGCAACTTACCCATAAAAAATCCTTTATGTCGTACTCGTACAGGTGTCCGACGACGTCGTTTAGTCCAATCAAATCCTCACCTGGAAGAAATTATGAAAAACGTTTTTTGCCTCATCCGCGAATTTTCTATTTTTTTATTATTTTTTTATTTTAAAAACCAAAATTCAAAAAGATGTCATTTCCCATGAAAAATAATTTATTTATTTTCCCATTCCCCTCAATTTCTATATAAACAGGCCAAATAACCCAAGAAATTTCAAACACTGCAATCAACCAAATTAAACAAACAGACTTTCAGTTTCACTTTCTCTCTCTAAAAAATAAAAAACACAGTACACATAGTTGATTGAAATCAAGAAATACAATGGCTCCAAAAATCACGAGCATTCCTTCGAGCCGCGGTTCTTCATCAGGTCTAGTCAAGGCCGGGAGTTTGCCCAGCCGTGCTTACGTCACCTTCTTGGCCGGCGCCGGCGACTACGTGAAGGGCGTGGTGGGTCTGGCCAAAGGCCTGAGGAAGGTCGGCACTGTGTACCCACTCGTGGTGGCGGTGCTGCCCGACGTTCCGGCCGAGCACCGCCGTGAGCTGGTGGAGCAAGGCTGCGTAGTGCGTGAGATCGAGCCCGTCCACCCGCCGGAGAACCAGACCCAGTTCGCCATGGCTTACTACGTCATCAACTACTCCAAGCTTCGCATTTGGGAGGTACTTACGTAGTATTCAATTAGAAATTAAATTTTAAGATTTTTTTTTAAATTATAATGGTTTAATTATATTAATATTCAGCGTAAATTATGAAAAAACCCCTGAACTTAGGGTAAATAACTTAAACCCCCTGAGATTAGGCTAAATAAAGAAAATACCCCACGTATCCGTAATTAACTGTTGATCGAGTTTTTCAATTAACTATTGCTCGAGTTTCTTAACAGTAATAAACGTGTACAGTCTATTATCCTTTCTATTAAATAGTAAAAAAATAAAATAAAATATTTGAAATTGTGTAAAGTCTATTCTCTGGAATAAAAAATATCCGTGAAAAGTCACACCGGGTTGGTGTAAGTTTGGAAACAAACCTTAGGGGGTTTTTGGTAATTATGAATAGGTGATTTTTTTTTATTTTTTTTTGTCATTTAGCCTAAGTTGAAGGGTTTTTCGTAATTTGCCCTATATTTTATATTGCAGTTTGTGGAGTATAGCAAGATGATATATTTGGATGGGGATATTCAGGTTTACGACAACATAGACCACCTTTTCGATTTGCCGGACGGGTTTTTGTATGGTGTAATGGATTGTTTCTGTGAGAAGACGTGGAGTCATACTCCTCAGTACCGGGTCGGCTACTGCCAGCAGTGCCCGGGCCGGGTCGAATGGCCCGTCGATTTCGGTCCGAAACCCGCGCTCTACTTCAACGCTGGCATGTTTGTATTCGAGCCGAGTCTCCCTATTTACCATGATCTTCTTCACGCACTCAGAATCACCCCTCCCACTCCATTTGCCGAGCAGGTAATTAGCCTCTATAAATTAATACACTCGGGACTAGTGGAATTTTATTAATTTAACGAAATATTAAATTAACAAGTTAATAATCTAATTCGTTCTTATAGAGTTGTGATCAGAAAAAAATATTATTTAAACGAGATTATTAATTTGTCTCATTTGCTGAGCAGGTAATTAACCTTTATAAATTAATACAGTCGGGACTAGTGAAATTTTATTAATGTAAGGAAATATTAAATTATCGAGTTAATAATCTAGTACGTTTTTACAGAGTCGGGATCATAAACAAATATTATTTAACAAGATTATTAATTGTCGAGGTTCTACTGTATGTCTGATTATTAATTTTTTTTTTCTTTTTTCAATTTTGGTGTAGGATTTGTTGAATATGTTCTTTAAGGACATATACAAGCCGATTCCGAATGCGTACAATTTGGTATTGGCGATGCTGTGGCGGCACCCGGAGAATGTGAAGGTGGCGGAGGTGAAGGTGGTGCACTACTGTGCGGCGGGGTCCAAGCCGTGGCGGTACACCGGCGAAGAAGAGAACATGCAAAGGGAAGACATCAAAATGCTCGTTCAAAAATGGTGGGATATTTACGACGACCAGACATTGGATTACGTTCCTACTGCCGCCGCCGTCGCCGCCGCACCTGCTCAGTTGACGGCGGAGCTGACGGAGGCAGGTGGTGTTCGTTTTATCGCCGCCCCTTCCGCCGCTTGAGATTATTAATTGATATGTATTGTATAGGCCTTTTAGTTTTTTAGATGGGGCTTGAGATATTACTAATCAAGCCCATCAAAGAATAGGAGGTATTGTAATTTTATTCCTGGATTATAGTTTATATATTTTATTTGGTATGTTTTATTTTCTTCATAACGAAAATTAAAATTGTAGAAAATTTCCTCCAAATATATTTATTGTTAGCTTGGCGCTTGTGTATATTTTTCAAGGAGATATATGAATATAATTGTAGTATTATTTTTGTGTATGATGTGAAGTATTTAGTTAGCGAGAGAGATGAAGTATGTTATTAGAATTAAAAAAGAGGAGCAGCTAATTACATATTCATGTTGTTTGTTTTGTTTCATTGATGTAGTTGATAATTTGGGTTAGATATTCAATTTCAACTCTTTTTTTGTTTTTTACTCGTACCAACCCTCATTAGCAGAGTGTGTACCTAGTTTCTACTATTAGAGTAGAGGTCCATGTTCGAATCTTGGCCATAAATTCAGGCTGGTTGACAAAAAAATAAAATTTCACTAATTTTGTTTCCTAAGTTCCCTATATCATAAAACGATAAAACGATCCAATTCTTCATAGTATAACATTCAATTACTAAATTGTCAGATTATTCCAAGTTTGGAAAGCTCTTTTTAAAATTCTATTCCTAGAAGCCTAAAAAATTTCAAAGATGTCATGGTGTATGGCACAGAGAAACCAATTTACCCTCGAAGAAGTGATCTCTGCTAACTGTTTGGCGCAGGAAAAAGGACTGTTCATTGAAAGCAAGCTAGAAAATAAAGATTTCAAACACAAGAAGTTCAATATAAACACAAGTTTCAGAAGACCAAAAATGTTCGGAATGACAAGGTTGTTACTAACTGAAGAACCAAGAGAGAGTGGAATCCTAATTTTGGATGTTCATTTCGTATGACTCGTAATAAAGAATGGTTTGAATCTCTAGAGTTCATCATCGTATGAGATCATGCTGTTAGGAAACATTCAAGCTTGTATAGTTTGTGGGATTGGATCGATGAGTAATGATTAGACAACATGATGAAGTTGAAAGACTAACTCCCAGAGGTAGAGTTTATTTGTCCATGATTTGAGGAGAAACGTACCTCATTTAGCTTGGAGTCTTAGATTGGAAAGGCTATACATTGAATATCTTGAGGTTAAAAAAACTTAGTTACATAAATGAAAGGGATTAATATTAATGGTGTCTATTCACTTTTGGGAAATACTGTTATTGATGGTTCTTCCCAAGGTTGAACAACTACCCGCTAAACCCGACCTGATCCGCCCGTGAACCGCCAGTTTTGCTTGTTAAAATAATAGTAGTAGTTTTATATTATGAAAACCCAACCAGAGCGGGTCGGTTATTGGGTTTACCTGTTGAAACCTGCCCCCAACCCGATCCGCCCGCATCATATGTTAATATATATATTATCTATGTCAAATTAAGAAAATCTACGATTTTATCTCACCTCTTCTTCTTTTCTGATGTTGACTGTTAATCTCTTGTACAAAGTTAATCAAGTAATTGTCATTTTCATTTCTCTAGAAAATTCTTGATGATGGCTTCCTTATTATAACAAGTTTTGACTATAGCAAATTCGAATAGCTCGTAAGTTTTTCTAAAAAATAAAGAAGCGTGAAGACATATAGCAACAAAGAGTTTGGGGAGAGGAAAACGAGAGAGAGAGAGAGAGAGAGAGAGAGAGAGAGAGAGAGAGAGAGAGAGAGAGAGAGAGAGAGAGAGAGAGATGCGGAACAAGAAAACGGGAGATGAGAGAAACTGGGGAGTACGTGTGCGAGATGGAGGCAGAGTGAACGAAAAATAAGGTAAAATCCCGCCCGACAAACTCGAACCCGTGCGGTTTATAAACCTGATTTGGCAGGTGCGGGTTGGAATTTTGTAACCCGCCAACCGTTGAGTCGGTTTGAATTTTTCTATATTCCCTCCCAAACTCACCCGTGTTCATCCCTAGTTCTTCCAACATTGTGTTAGATGTTGCTGGCGAAGCTGAACTTTGGGAATTCGTGGTGGAGACAAGGTTGATAAGTTGAATCTATATGAGCACTATGTTATGCGCAAAGCTACAAGAGTCAGTTACAACAAATGCAATCACTCCACGCGCAAAGCTCTCGACTATGTTCACTGTGATCTATGAGGTCCAACAATAACACATACACGTGGTGGAGGTAGATACTTCTTATATATATATTTTATGACTACTTTTAGAAGAGTTTGGGTCTTCATCTTAAATTCTATGGATGCATTGTTAAGTGTATATTTATACACTTAATTGTACCTTTTAGTTGGAGCTTTTGATGTGTTTTTACGATAATTGGTGCTTAATTTGGTTATTATTTGTATTTTAGGTGCAAATTGAAGAATTGGCAACTTTTGGGGTGAAAACTGCAAATTCGGAGAAAAAGTGGGCCAAAAGTGAAAAAAGCAGAATTCTGGAGAATCAAGGACCGCGCGGCCGTGCGGATTGTAGGCATAAATCTCACACGGCCGTCCGGATGGTCGTAGGGGCGCAGTGAAGGAATTTTAATCACACAAGGAAACCCGCCCTATTATATTTTTGCACCCTATTTAAAGGCCACAAGCACACAATTAGGATTATCTTAGATCTTTTACCTTTTTATCGTTTTTCTTAGTTTTTATTCTTCATCTTTCTACACGCGATCAAGGAGCACAAGAACGAAGACGAAGACTTGACGAATCTTCATTCTAGTTCTCCTCTTTGATTTTTATTTATAGCTTTTATGATTTTTCGTATTTTTATTATGCTTTTCGTTACGAACATGAGTAGCTAAGTTTTTATTCTAGGATTTTATTGGAACCCTATGTGGTAATTCGAACCTCTTATTCGACTTTTATGCAAGTTTAATTCTTCGATTATTTCTTCTATCTTGATCTTATTTAGTGCATGAGCGTAGCTAACTTATGTTGCTATTTGTTATTGTTAGAATTGATTGACATATCGTTTTAATAATTAGAACAGGGATAGAAGAGCTTTCGAGTAATTTTTCACCGAATGCGTGTGTTGATTGCATGTATTATCGTAGACATACAGATAATACATTAGGTAGCCGTTTACGAGACTTGTTATTTAATGCTTTATTTGTACTAGGTTTGCATAGACATATAGTGAATCTTTTATGAATAATAGGCTTATAACGCAGCGACAGCTGGTTATGAGTAATTTCGTGTCTTGGGTTAATAATCGGGAATCGTAACTTGCATGATAGGAGATTAATTGGGTGAAGAATTATCGCATAGGGGGAAGATAAAATCCTAGATCCGTTCTATATTAATATTTTCTTGTGTTTAATTGCTTTCTTAATTAGTTTAATGATAAGGAACGTCAAATTCGATACGTGTTGCAAAATAACTATTTAATTCGGAGAAGAGTTATTAATGGGCATTGGTGGAAATATCGAAAGAAATTATGGGAAAATAAGGGTTTTCGACGAACTTAAATCGTAGTTGAGTATGAAACGAACTATATCTCAAGTAAAACGGCGTAAGGAACAAAACTCATGAGCAAAGCTCATGAATCACGTCAAATTTCAGCAATCCAAGGTCGTTTAGACTTCCAAAAGTTCGTTTTTGCTATTTTAGGAAAGTTTTAAATAATTCATAATTAATTCTAGAAAAATCGGATTTGAATTCCGCAAGTTGGGTTGTTTCCAACTTTCGGTATTCTATTAGGTTTAGGAGTTATTTCGTTTTTGCCTTTTTTGGTAATTTTCTCGTTTTCCTAGTTTGATTAGGTTTTTCGTTTTTCTTTAGTATAAATAGTTGCTCTAGGGTTTATTTTTCAGCATCTTTCATTATTAATAAAATTTCTGAGTTTTCTCTCAATTATCTGGTGGATTCCAGAGTTATCGTGTTCGATAGGATTAATTCGTAGAAATTAATTCTTTACCGTGCTTCCGTTCTGCGTCAGTTGGCATCAGTAGCGAGGTTTTTCCTGGTTAGATGGCGAAAGGTGCGAAACATGGAGACAACAACTACGTTGGCGATGACCGCGGGGTGTAAAAATTGCAAAATCTGCGGTTGGTGCGCGAGGGATCTGCCCTTGACAGCAACAACAGAAGGACTGGATCTAACACGATGATTGCCGACGGTGTAGCCCGAGGTGCTAATGTTAGATACAATTATCATGGACCTGTTCAACTTCAATCAAGGTATGATGACTACTCAAAGGTGAGCGGCAACTCTTATTTTGAAGAAAACCCGCCTATAAGGAGGCAAAAGGATCGTGATAAATATCGGGCAAGAGCTGAAATTCCTTCTTTTAGTGGAAATTTTCTTGAAGTTGAGGATTTTATCGATTGGGTATCAGAAGTTGAAAGATATTTTGAATTGATGGATATTTTGCCGAATAAGATGGTAAAATTGGTTAGGTGTGAGTTAAAGGGTTGTGCAGCCGCATGGTGGGATGATATACAGAGGAAGAGAGCTAGACAAGAAAAATTTCCAATCCAATCATGGAGGAGGATGAGAAGAATGTTGATGGATCGTTTTTTACCCTTAGGTTATGAGCAACGTCTATTTCAACTATATCGTAATTGTTCGCAAGGGAGTAGATCTGTTAACAAGTATACTGCTGAGTTTGAGAGACTAGCAAACTTAAATAACCTGCAAGAATCCGAAAGTACGGAAATTTCACGGTACTTGGCAGGTTTGAATATTTCAATACGTCTTAGGATGGGGTGGCGTATATTCTACACCCTTGAAGAGGCTCAAGAGTCAGCATGGAGGTCGGAATATTATGAGCGAAATAGTTCTTCTAGAAAAATCGAAGATGTTCCACCCGTTGTCAAAGTTAAGGAGGCACAAGATACTTCGTTCGTTATTCAACCTCCAAATTTGGTGGAGGATCATGACGTAGGAGTTGACGAAGTTGAAGAGAAAATTGTCGTAAAAGTTAAAAGTAGCGTAGCTATTATTAACGATGACATTAACGAAATCAAAGTGAACATCGACGAAGTTGAAAGGACAGACAACGAGTTTGAAGCGAGCATCAACAAAGTTGAAGAGAGCGACAATGGGGTAGAAGACAATGTTAGCAAGCTTGAAGAAGAAGTCGATGAGTTTCGAGAGGGTGTTAAAAATAAATTTGAGGAAGAATTTGAAGTTGTAAAATTTGTTCAAGAAGAGGAAGGTGCACGTAAAGAGAAAGAACAAGTGGATTGCGTT